TATAAATCCTTAGTGATACTGAAAAGTGAGGGGAGAGGCAGAAGAGGTGTCCTTTACAGAAGGGTGCCCGTTATGAAATGGAAGTGATCACAGGCTTAGAAAGCCATCGTTTGGTAGCCATCAGGGTAGCAACTGATAGAGACAAGCAGCCTTGGCAGATGCGAAAACCACTGGGCAGAAGGTTCCGGGAAACGGCCTCAGGGTTTCCCTCACTCATCACAAAGGAGAAGGGCCCTCCTCGAGGGAGGGGGCGGGTGGCCGCCACCTGTTCCGGTGACTGAGCCCAGCTTCCCCACACAGGACAGACTGTGTCTCCTGAGGTCACGTGCTGGGCCGCACACCCCACCCTGGTGGTGTCCTTCTGCCAGAAGGCTCTACCTGAATCTTGCTGCAAGGAGTCAGAAAAACTCCATATTCTGGGATGTGCCTCCAGACAGCCAGACTCCTCAAAAACTGTTATAAAAACAAAAAAGTAAATGTTAGGGGCAGGGATGCACCATTCTAGGTTAAGGAAGAGTATTGTTCAGTCGCTGAGTCGCGTACGACTCTTTGTGACCCCATATGGACTGCGGCGCGCCAGGCTTCCCCCTCCTCCACTGTCGTCTGGAATTTGCTCACGTTCGTGTCCATCGAGCCGGTGATGCTCTCTGACTGCCTCGTCCTCTGCTGGCCTCTTCTCATGGATCAGCCTTGTTGTGGTGAAGGGCTTACGTAACTCAGTGAAGCTGTGAACCCTGCCATGCAGGGCGCCCCAAGACGAACAGGTCGTAGTGGAGAGTTCTTACAAAAAGTGGTCCACTGGAGGAGGGAATGGGAAGCCACCCTAGTATTCTTGCTGTGAGAACCCCATGAACAGTACAGTAAGGAAGGCTAGATGACTGTAATAAAAATAGAATGTAATGATCTAGGCTTTAGTCCAGGGTTAGGGAAGGAAAACTATTAAGGTTGGTGCAGAAGTAATTGCGGTTTTGCATTGTTGAACTTTGCTGTTTGATACTGGAATGCATTCTTAAGTAAATGTGGTAATGTTCTACATCATTTTAATGTGCATTTCTCACTTTATGTTTTTTTTTTGCTAATGACACTACTTGCTGTGTATTTTATATTTATTTTAGACTAGGGCAATATTAGACAAAAAGCAAATTCAAGCAGTTTTCTTAATTAAAGTTCAAAATGGGTCGTAAGACAGCACAGACAAGTTGCCGCGTCAACAACACATTTGGCCCAGGAACTGCTAACTAATGTACAGTGCAGTGGTGGTTCAAGATTCTGCAAAGGAGACGAGAGCCTTGAAGGGGCTGGCCGTCAGAAGTTGAAAACGACCAATTGAGAGGACCTTCAAAGCTGATCCTCTTACAACTACACCAGAAATTGTGGGAGAACTCACCATCGACCGTTCTACAGTCATTAGGCATTTGAAGCAAATTAGAAAGCTGAAAATGCTTGATAAGTGGGTCCCTCATGAGCTAACCCCAAATCAAAAAAAATTCATCATTCCGAAGTGTCATCTTCTCTTACTGTATGCAACAGCAGTGAACCATTTCTCAATTGGATTCTGATGTATGACGAAAAGTGGATTTTATATGACAACCGGTGACAACCAGCTCAGTGGTTGGACAGAAAAAAGCTCCAAAGCACTTCCCAAAGCCAAACTTGCACCGAAAAAAGGTCCTGGTACCATTTGATGGTCTGTTACTGATCTGATCTACAACTTTCTGAATCCCAGTGAAACCAGCATTCCATCTGAGAAGTATGCTCAGCGAATCGATGAAATGTCCAGAAAACTGCCATACCTGCAGTCAGCATTGGTCACCAAAAAGGTGACCAAAACATTATTCTCTGAATAATGTCTGCCTGCACATTGCACAACCAACACTTCAAAAGTTGAACAAATTGGGCTACGAAGTTTTGCCTCATCCGCCATGTTCACCTGGCCTCTTGCCAACCAACTCCCACTTCTTCAAGCATTTCAACAACTTTTTGCAGGGAAAACACTTCCACAACCAACAGAAGGCAGGAAATGCTTTCCAAGAGTTTGTTGACTCCTGAAGCACGAATTTTTACACTACAGGAATAAACAAACATTTCTCATTGGCAAAAATGTGTTGATTGCAGTGGTTCCTATTTTGACTAATAAAGATGTGTTTGAGCCTAGTTACAGTGACTTAAAATTCATGGTCCAGAACCACAATTATTTTTTCACTGACCTATTATAAAAATCATCTTAGGTACAGTTGGTGAAACTTGAAGATGGACTGATTATTAGAAAATAAAGTTATTTTAAGTTTCTTAGCTGTGCTCACAGTGTTGTGATTGGTAGAAGAATGTCCTTTTTACTTAGGCGATCTGTGCTGAAGTTTTAGGGGTGAAATGTCATATTTGCAACTTCCTTTCGGGAGGTTCTGAAAAATGTGACTGTACAGAGAGGAAAAAAACAGATGTGACAGTTTAGCAGTTAGAGAATCAGGAGGCAGGGTTGACAAGTGCTCATGGTACTATTCTTTCAGGTTTTTTGTAGATTTAAATTTTTCTGTAATAAAAATGGGGGGAAGGTTAATAATATATACATTCATTGTCAAAAGAAAAACGAAGCAAACAACACAGGAAACTGCAAAAAGTGAAAGTGAAAGTCGCTCAGTCCTGTCCAAACTCTTTGCAACCCCATGCACTATACAGTCCATGGAATTCTCCAGGCCAGAATACTGGAGTGGGTAGCCGTTCCCTTCTCCAGGGGATCTTCTCAACTCGGGGATCAAACCCAGGTCTCCTGCGTTGCAGGCGAATTCTTTACCAGCTGAGCCACCAGGGAAGCCCACGTGTACTGGAGTGGGCGGCCTGTAATGCCCCTAAGCCGCTCTACCTGGGGATAACCACAACTGGCAGTTTGGTGAACCTTCTTCCAGGTGTTGGTTCTTGGAGTATCAGTCCGTCTATCCATTTATCCATCTGCCTAATGTCTTCTATTTATTTATTTGGCTGCATCAGCTCCGTCTTAGTTGCAGCACCTAGAATCTTTGCAGTACACGGACTCTCTAGTTATGGCCTGCAGGCTAGTTGCTCCATGGGATGTGGGATCTTAGTTCCTTGACCAGGGATTGAACCCGCATCTCCTGCATTGTAAGGCAGATTCTTAACCACCAGACCACCAAGGAAGTCTTCTCCCTAAAGTCTTCTATTTTTATTATTCTCCTTTTTTTCCTGGATTTTTTAGCTGAGGAAAGACTGTTGTTCTTTAAAATAAATACCCCATACCCCGGATTTGAGTAGTTGTGAGATAAAGGTGCTGTTTACCTTGTTCTTCCCTCCCCTCAGTAGGTGTGGATGGTTGTTTAGATTCCAGTCTTAGGATTTTGTTTGTGTTTTGGCAAAAATACGTCATGGGTGACACTCTGTCCTTCATGTCGCGTGACGGCAGGTTGTCTTACTGTTTAATTGCATTGAAACATGGTCTCAGGGTTAGAAGTACAAGGGCCTTAAAGGAGTACAGGATCCATCCTGGTCCCCTCCCCCCTGTTCTTTTCTTTTCTCTTTAGCTCACTATTTTTATAAGCTATGGGGTTTTTCCCTCCAGTATTTCCTTTTGAAATATGAGCCCAGTATATTTGTATTTTCTCTGCTCCTTATGCAAAAGCATACCATTTGCACTCAAAATACAGCCTCGACATTCTCCATATCAGTGCAGAGGCGCCTCCATCTTTCTCTGTGTTCTGTAGCCCTGTTCTGTGTGGTGGTTATCGCCATGTTTTATTCAGCTTGTCTCCTGCTGGACACTGGAGTGTTCACCAGACCTGCAGTCATAAACAGTGCTGAAATGAATAGCCTTGTGCATCAGTCATTTACATTTTCACCAGTGTGCCTTTGGGATGGATTTCTAGAGGAGAGATCGCTCTGGGCCAGAGGGCAAGTGCATGTGTAATTTTTCTGGATATCCCCAGATTCCTCTCCATGGGGGTCTGTATTGTTTTGCATTCCCACCATGTACAAGGTACACAACATCTTCTTTGATGGCGAAACCGTGCAGTGTAATTTGGTCTTAGAAAAGAGCAGACCTGGGTGGGCGGTCTACCCTCTGCTTGTTAGCTGTGTGTCCCTGGACAAGTTACTTAACCTTTCTGAATCTTGGTTCCCCTCTGTTTTGAGGCATTATTTTGACGATAAGTCAAGATAATGCAGGTATGGTGTTCTTGTGTATGGTGAGTGCTCAGAGCCTGCTGCCTGGGGCTGCTCTTGGTGTGGCTTGCCCTTGGAGGTTGTTGCTGGCTGTGTGTTTACTGCCAAAGATGGAAAGATTCCCATTTTCCAGTCTCCCTGCCAGAGTGGCCAGACATACCAGAAAGCAGAGTCTTTGTTCTTGAGATGGCAGCTAGCTCAAAGGAAAAAAGCTGTCTCCATTGCTTTTATACTTTGTGTCCATCTGGTTAAATCTCTGGCCAGTGTTCTGATTGTAACTGCCTATCAAAAGAGGGAACATCGTTTGGTCCTTCCCACTCTCCAAGGCCCATGAGCAGCGTCCTTGGTCAGTGACTCTGGGGCTCACCCCACGAGGACATACCTCGGGGTGACCTTCCAGAATCACACCTCAAAGCACATTATCGTTCAGCATTGCTGATAAGACCAGATGTGGGCAATAACCCACGACCCTGTTAACCATAAAGGGGTTTTTCAGATAAAATGTAAAACACTCCAGCAGTTCTCTGAATTCTTAACATGACACAACAGCCCATGACTCATTCCAGTTCTCCGGTCTGCGTGCAGGTGATGTTCTTGTAGTGAAGTGGGCTGCAGCTGCCTCACTGCAGGTTCAGTAGAACTCGTCCCTGAATCAGAGTTTCACCCACAGGTGGATGACAGTGGGCTCCTGAAGTTGTATGCACGCCTGTGTGCACTCCTGGGGGTGAGCCCTCAGTGTTTGCACTAGATCATCAAATGGGCCCAGAACCCCAGAAAGGTTGAGACACTCCATCCTAAGCCATGTTCTTTTGTTCTTTTCTGTTTTGAAGGATATTGCGGCTCGTGGCTTGGATCTCCCTCAAGTCACATGGATTGTCCAGGTAACATCTCTCGTTGTTATGGGGCGGGCTTGAGGCCAGAACGTACGATCATGAGCAGATGCATTGGCTTGAAGTAGAGTAATTATTAAGACCCTCGTGGGTGTTGCCCTGGTCCCCAGGCAGCCACCAGCCCCATCCGCACCATTCTCCTGCCATCTCTCCTTACCCCAGCCCCCCTGACCACCACAGCTCAGCCTCCAGCCTGCGCAGCTGGGGCTCCCCAGTTCCCAGACAAACACGTGTCACACCCCGATTTTCAGCACTCTGAAAATAACGGGAACCACTGGGCCGCTGGAAGGCCTCATTGTGCGGGAAGACAGTGGCTCAGCTGTCCTGAGAACTGCCTGCACACTGACCTGCGGGGGCAATTAAGGCCCTGACAGCATCTTACGCATACCTCCAGCCTTCGACGCTTTGCCAGAGGGTACGGGTGTTAGCCCTAGAGCCCGGTGGTTCCAGTTTTGTTTTTTATTTTCGTTAGTCTGCAGAGTGGTATTTTTAAGCCCTTCTGTGAGAGGGCCAGGAGACACATGCCCTGTTTACGTGAGTCATAGTTTATTCACATTTTAGTGGAATTGCAGGATTGTCACTGGCTAGAGATCTGCTCTGCTCACCGCACACGATGACTTTGTGGCCAGAGGCATTGTGTCTTTTCTCCTGCCGGCCACAGAGCAGATGTGAAATAGGAAGGATGATTTTAATGTGTGGGAGATTAGCCACGTAGAATTGATCATTGAGCGCCTCCCTGTAATTGTGGATATTGATTAGTTTAATATGCCTGGCCTGCCACCGAAGTCATCGCGGCCCGTGATCCTTGAGTCGTGTAACAGCAAAGAACAAAAGGGCAGAATGAGTGCAGGGTCAGTTAGCATTAATGGTGACCAGTTACTGCCACCGAGCACGCCCATTCTGCTGAGTTTGAGCAGTTGCCTGTCTCCGGGCCAGGAATGCTGTCAGCGGGAGCAGAGTGTGTCCCTTAGGAAGGGAACCTGCCTCTCAGTCCGCCTGCAGCCCGCTTCTCAGGACGGGGGGGCCTGCAGCGAGGCGCTGGGACCTGATCCCTCTCCACCCTGTGCGCCATCTTCTGTGCCCGCGGCCCCACGGCTCTGTCTCTCGAGGAAGTAGGCCAAGGTCGTGCGGCCACCCTGCCTGCGTTCTCACCTTGCCCAGTCACCTCGGTGAAAAGATGCAAATAGGAAAGCGAGGAGACCTGTGGAGAAGTGAAATTAAAAAGGAGATATTGGGACGGGAAGATGTCTCGTTTATCTGAAACTTGGCCACTGTTCCCGTTGGCGTGTCGGAGCCTTGTTATTTCCAAGGAAGCCAGGAGTTTCAGGGTTGAGTGACTTCTCCTTGTGATGGTGATGGGGTAACCATAGCACCAGGATTTAATTCTTGGGATACCTGGAGGCAGGTGAGGGGTATTGCACTTCCAATTAATGGCAATCCCTTGATCTGTGAATGCCTTCATTTTCGTGCCCCTCTTTTAGTACAACGCTCCGTCTTCACCTGCCGAATACATCCACCGGATTGGGAGAACGGCCCGGATTGGCTGCCATGGGAGCAGCCTGCTTGTCTTGGCTCCTTCGGAGGCAGAATATGTCAACTCGTTGGCTTCTCACAAAATCAAGTGAGTCAGAAACCTGAACAGGGCTTCCGCTGATCTCTCCTAATTAACTTTCTGTCGCTTCTTACAGTGGCTGGGCCTTGTAAGCCAACGAAGAGCCATTAACCCTTGTGATCCCTAAATGAGTCCCAGAATAGCCAGTGGCAAAGACTAAAACCCTTCATGCCGTCAGCACATGACAGTTCTCACCTCGTTGCTGCTCCGAGTCAGGGAGTGAGCGGTTGCACTCCGTCTCTTTCAGGGAGAGGTCTGCATTCCATTGCTCTTGCGGTGAAGTGGGCACCACCCTCCCAACCAGCTCTACCAAGGTCTCTTAGAGTCATCAAGTTGTGTTTCTTGCAGTTCATTAACGTTTTAGACCTTTAGAGTTGATTTATATGTGGGAAAAATGATGCTTTGGATTCATCACTTTCCCTCCTCCTGGAAAGTATGCCGAGGGAGGAAACTGTTCAGAGTGGGTGAATTATTGTGCACCCCACGTTTGCGGGGAAGGGCGCCCAGTCAGATGGCCGTGTCTCACGTCCTCCAGCATGAAGCTCCAGTCCCCACTCCCTCCGCCCAGGTTGGGGACCCCATAGGGCTTGGCAGCTTGGAACCTGGGCCGGGGGCTTCCATCCAACCCCGATCTCCCTGAGCAAGGACAGAGATGGAGGGCAGCAGCTCAGGCTGGCCAGGCAATCCTGATGAAAGCAGGAAGCATTGACCTGGGCCCCAGAGATGAGGTGGTTTTGTCACATTTTCCGTAAAATCTCCAGCACCTGGAGTAACAGGCCCTCAAAATGGGCCTCAAAAGGCATGTGTGGAAAACTCACACTCATCCACGTGGGTTCACACGTCTCTTCTGCTCAAAGCACAGTGATGCCAAGAGCATGTTCGGAGCCCAGGCTGGCAGCCCAGTACATGCTGGGCACAAGTGTGGCTGGCTGCCGTGACGTCACGTGGTGGGTCACGTTTCTGGGTGGCTTCCTCGCCCAGTCTGTGTTGTAGGTAACAAGGCTTTTCCCCTTGAAGTAAAGAGCTGGGAACGCCATCGCCTCGCCATCTGCACTGAAGAGCCCCGGCGGCCCGCTCGGAGGGGAGAACTGTGGGTGGCCGTCCCCATGGGGAGCACACCGCTTCCCGCCCCACGCCTCAGCCGACTGCGGCACACTCAGCACTGTCGAGGTTGCCGGTGTGATGGTTCATGGGGTGCGCTCCCCATGAAAACACACTCCCCACTCCTCAGGGTTGGGGAGGCTGGGGCCTGCCCCGATTGGTCTGGGGGGTCATGTCACTCGGGTGAAGACGGTTTGAGTTTTCCTCTCGGTTCTCTCATCTCATCTCTGACTCGGTCAGGTGAAGAGTGGGTTTTGTTTGTTTCAGGAAGGCGTGCCTCTTTTCTCTTGTGAGAAAAGAGTCTTGTGTCGGTCAGTCGCACTTCACCAGGAGCTTCATCTCCAGCTGCACTCTGAGTTTTGGGGGCTGGAGGCCAGCTCTGACCTCTCTTTGCTGCCCTTTCAGGGTCCAGACAGCCCCCGATCCAGCAGGTCCACTCCAGAAACATGGGGGTGTGAAATGAAAGCCCACTCCAGCGCTGTAACTTTTCCCTGTCCCGGGAGCTAGTGAACCTGTGGAAGGCGTTCTCAGAGGTGTTGTCCCCCAGGAGGAAGGGCTCCCTGCACTTTGCAGCCTCTCTGCCTCCATGGCGCGCTCCTCCTTCCGTGCTCGACCCACGCGCTTACGTTCTCCCCCCCGTCCTCGGCAGCAGCGCTCTGCTTGGCCTCCTGGGCTCGTCTCCTTGGAGAAGCGGGTGCTGATGGTGCTGCAGGCAGAGGGTCACAGTCCCGTACAGGGTCGTCAGCAGAGGCGGCTCCGCCTCTCTGCTCTTGTCCTCGTTCTCGAGTAACGGCGTTCCCGTTCATGGCCGTGGAGGTTTGAGTGTAAGCCTACCACTGAAGAAGGGAAGATGCTCATTAGCACCACCGTGAATCATTGGTGAGCTAGGTGTATTTTAAGGGTGTAAAAAGGACAGTCCTTCTTTCTGATGATCTTGACTGGAGAAAGAACCCACAGCATTCGTGGGAAATTCACCATAAGGTTCACGCTCAGGGGGGAACTCAGTGATGCCAGGGACTCCGAGAGGAAGATCAGGAGAATGAAGACAGGGAGACACCTCACGGAGGAGATGTGGGTCTCAGGTGGTGTAAGGACCTTCACTTAGGGGGCAGAGAGTCCTGTCGGAGTCCAGACTCGCGGGTGTTGGCCTTGAAAATGCACCTGTTTCGGGGCCTCACCCTGAACCCCTGGCTACTTGTGGGTGAGCTCTAGTCACCCTGAGTGTGATCAGGTCTGCTGCTGCGGTACTGCCGAGCATTGTTACACGTGCCAGTTTCTGTTCAATGCAGGGCTGTCTGCTGGGGAAATGTATGCAGACTGTTTCTTTGACTTCATACAAAAAATTAAGTCTAATAAGTCATTCCAAAGTGTGCTGTGGGAAAAGGCAGACTTGAAGATTTTCGAAATCCAAAAGGTACACATCCAAGCATAAAAAAAAAAAAGGAGGAGGAAGGAGTATGTGCCTACTTGGTACCTGAGAGCCAGGCGGTAGGATGCTGGGGTGGCTGATGAATTACAGGGAAGATTCAGAAAGACAGGCGGCAGCAAGGGCCATCACAGCAAATTGCCACCCACCTCCACATGCCCAGCGCCGCGGAACCGGCCCTGACAATGGACTTCAGCAGAGGGAGCGAGAGAGCCGGGCCACGCCGCCTCTGAGTGGATACTCAGAACTTCGTCTCTGCATCCTTGTGACTTCTTGTTAATTGCCAACTTCTTCACTTTTCCCCACTTCTTCTTTAAATGTTTTTCTAATGAAAGTCACCATAGGTTTATTAAAATGGGAAAGCTTCCTCAAAATTCGTCTCTCTTAGATCAGGCTTAAGAAAGACAGGTCCTTGGATTTATTCCACGCTCTCTCTCCATAGTGAGGTGGGGGTGACTCAGGTCTGTTGATAGAACCATAAATAGGCAGAATCAGTTTGTTTTGTTCCTCAGAAATAGTGATGTCTTGGACAAGGAGGAGGCCCTTTTAAACTATAAATCTCTCCGGGTCAACTCCGCCTGGCTCCTGCTCACCTCGGGTAAACAGTCCCCCAACGCAGCCCGTGAGCCGCACCCTGGCTGGACAACAGCACTCCCATGCATCTGAGGAACCTGTGCCTTCCTCTGGGATTTTAGTTATCTGTATCCCTGGCTGTGAATAACACTGTACCTGCTTTCTTTCTCCTCACTTCAGGATCTGACTCCAGGTTTTTACATTGCTTTTCCTTTTGTTTTCTTCTTCTTCTTTTTTTAATAGAGACAAGGCAGCTAGACGAAGGGAAAGACAGGACTGGCTCTGGTTTTTACTTTCCTCCAGCTTTCCAGGCATAAATAAGAGGCAAATTCAATAGCCATATTATTTTTCTCCCACGTGAAAAAATAGATTTTCCAGGAAACTATGAACAGTTTCCCCAGCTCCTGCCCTCTCTGCATGTACCTTGCCTTCTCAGGCTGAGTCCTAACTGCCGTGAAAAGATTTCCCGAGTCCGGCAGCCGAGAAGGGGCCACGCGGGCTGGGGACAGGGCGTCTCAGGGAGGCGGTGACATGGCTCAGGTGCATCGCCGTCAGAGACGTGGCATGTCCATTCATAGCTTTGTCAGAGTCACCTTTGGGGGAGGCAGTGGGGCTTGTCTTCTCCCTCAGAAGAGGTTGCCATTCACGTTCTAATTTGCTGTTATATTTTGAAAAAAATAAAGCATACAAGAAAAGCATTTATCCTTTTTTTTTGGCTGCACTGAGTCATTGTGGCACACAGGCTTTCCTCTGTGCCTCACAGGGGCTTCTTTAGCTGTGGCCCCAGGGCTGAATTGCCCTGCAGCACGTGGGATCTTAGTTCCTTGACCAGGGATCAAACCCTCTCCCCCTGCATCAGAGAGAGACGGATTCTTAACCACTGGACCACCAGGGAAGTCCTAAAAGTCATTTACCTTTTTAGAATCTGTTTTCCTGCCCTAGAACTCCTCCTCCCCTCTCCCTTCCTCCCTGGGAAGTCTATTCTCCTTGTCTCTGCCTCAGGACTCTGCTCTGTGCTCTTCCCCGGGGCAAAGGCTGGGGCCTTCCAGAGCCAAGGGGGACAGTGTGCTGTCCAGACTCCCCCAAGAGGCTGCTTGGAGCATCTCATTCTGGCTCCTCGTAGCTCCCATTCACAGGTGAAGCCTGGGTTCTGGTTTCAGCCGTTAGCCCGTAACTCTATAGATTTGCCGAAGGTCATTTGGTCCTCACCCTTGAGTAATTCAGAGATGACAGTCAGGAAGGTCCCTCGGGGTAGATTAAGACAGAGTTCTGGTGCTGTCAATGGGAGACGTTGGTTACCTGTTTACTTTCACTCAGGTATTTGTTTACCCCACTGTTAAGGGTCTTCAGCCACCTCCTTTAAAGGGACTGTCTGAAATGTTTTTTGGCTTGTTGCCTTCTGCTCAAGTCCAGGTAATATGTCAATAAGCAGGCCTATGTAGTTTTCCAGATCTATTAAGAAATAATGATGTGATCCCCATAAAGGAGATTGTAAATGTAGCCTATGTACATATATCTGGGAGGATGAGAATTGGTGGTAATGTCACCCCTTCTGTCCCTCTAATATCATAGAGTCCCCTTCCTTCCGAATTCCTGAAAGGTTAGGAAAACACTCCCTTTCCCGTGACCAAGTGTCACTTCTCCTTTATATCTGATTAGCCGGAAGAGAGGCCAATTTTATGCATCACAGTTGATAGAATAATGTTTTTGGAAGAATAAAAAGTTTACCTTTATATGTCCTTTTTACAGCGTTTCTGAGATGAAGATGGAAGACATTTTGTCTGTTCTGACAAAGGATGATTGTTTTAAAGGAAGACGAGGGGGAGGCCAGGTGAGTTTTATTATTAACTATGCTTGCTGTTCACAGAGGTGACTCATTTCCTGGTGTAGGGAGGCAGCGGCTCTTAGTACTGGGCAGTTCCTACCACTGGCGAGTAAAGCGTGCGTTTTCAGGACCATGAACATTAGACGAGGCCACATTTTGCTGGCGTTTCTCTGTCTTCGCTTCTGGACACATTCGCTGGCCCATCCAGTTAATGGGCCCCCGGCCGTCCTGGGTGTCTGCCAGGTGGCAGCAGGCTCCCCAGAAGGAGGGCTCGTCCCTGGCCAGAAAGAGTCTGGAGGCAACAGTGCTCCGTGCTCAGCCCTGGTGGTCCCCCTCCAGCTTACCCGCATGGACACCTGGCCTGACCCGTCCACCCAGGACCGCATGGAAAAAATAAATGTCTCAGAACCTCCTTTCAGACACACTTAGTTCATCCATTTTTTAATGTGTGCTATACACAGAGGAAGAGTAAAGTTGAGGTTGTTAGGAAGAAGAATTTTTATCGTCTGAGCACTACCATATGGAGATCCTGAGCAGCGCAGGCAACCCCAGACAGCCTTTCCTGCTTCTTTCTGAGGCCCCCCTGCTCGGAAGCACTTCCACCCCCACTCTACCGTGTTACCGGGTGTGCCACCTAGACTTGCGTGTGTGTTTCTGTGTGTGTGTAGTGTTTCTCTGTATAATTTTGTCCATGAAATTTTAATATTTGGATATTTTTCCATTTCTGTTCTGGTGCCTGTGGATAGACTGGAAAATCGGAGCCAAATAGATGAAGTTTAAGAATCTCTTGTGTGTGTTAGTACATGTCTTTATTTGGATCAGTATTCTCCCTGAGGCAAGGAGTCCATTTCCCTGACCCCGATTTAAGTTCTGTTCCAGAGAGAACCTGCAGAAATGCACTAAGGAAAGGAGAGGAACAGTTCGATGTCTGTTGCCCCAGCGTGTGTTGTGGGCCTGGCTTTGTGTTGATGAGCTCTTCCCCGACTTGGTCCCGTCTTAGCCTCTCAGCAGCCCACAAGGCAGGTGTTACTCTCCCGCTTCATAGATAAGAAAACTGAGACTTAGAGAGCTGAAGGAACATCCGTGAGGGTGCACTGATAATCGTGGGTCCTTCTAGTGTGAAAGCAGGCCACCTCTCCTTCACAGTTTACCAGCAAGTCTCCATTAGTATTAATTAGGCCAAGTAAATGAAACTACAGTGCTTTCTAAATTGGGTAATGTTAGCTGTTTTCATGGCTTCCCCGGTGGTTCAGTGGGTAAAGAATCTGCCTGCGAATGCAGGAGACTCAGGTTCAATCCCTGGCTTGGGAAGATCCCCTGAGAAGGCAGTGGCAACCCATTCCAGTATTCTTGGCCTGGAAAATTCCATAGACAGAGGAGCCTGGCGGGCTACTGTCCATAGGGTCGCAAAGAGTTGGACATAACTGAGCAACTAAGAGCTGTGTTCATAGAGGTGAAATTTGGCCAATAAATGGTACCACAGCAACAATTCCCATGAACAAGAAAAGCTATTAAGGACTTGGTTGATCAACCTGTTATATTAAGTGATATTTCACGACAGAGGGTCCTGGCCCCACAGGCCTTCAGGCCATCCCATAATAAGTCTGTTGTCATGGGAACTGACCGGAAACTATAGAGACTCATTGGTCTTGGCACACTTCTCTTCTTCTGAAACTACTGCAAATTCTAGTTAGGGAGCAAGGTTTGTTTTCTGTTTATCAAGATGTTCCCATGGCTATGTAATTAGAGCCCCGGGACAGCTCTGGGCTGAGTAGGGGCGTCCAGGGAGCTGTTTGAGGATGGGGTAGCCCAGTGTCAGGAGCACGGCCTTTGGGCCCGAGTCCTCATCTCACCAGCTGTGTGGCTTTGGGCTAGGACTAGACCCATAGGGTCAATTTCTTCCTGTGTACAACTGAGATAATTTTAATTTTCTTCTCAGAAGGAGATTGAAGGGTTGAGTGAAAAATAACCCAAAAGTTCCAACGCAGTGACCAAAGTGTATTTTTTATTATTATTATTATTATTATCACATCAGTTAGTAACAGAAGCAGATATGGAATTGAAGCTCAGACTCATTGACATGAAGCCCAGTGCCTTTTTTGCAGTTTCACACTAAGTGGAAAATTGGCACTTATCTTCCCTGGTGGCTCAGATAGTAAGGAATCTATCTGCAATGTGGGAGACCTGGGTTCTCTCCCTGTTTTGGGAAGATCCCCTGGAGAAGGGAATGGTTACACATTCTAGTATTCTTACCTGGATAATTCCATGAACAGAGAAACCTGGCAGGCGACAGTCCATGGGGTCACAAAGAGTCAGACCTGACTGAGCAACTTTCACTTTGACCATTCTCCAGAATTAAGAGCAAGCCTCAAAATTACACAAGGAGATGGTGAAGGTTTCAATAACCTTGTCTTCATTTACACTGTTGCCTGGACTAGCTTTGGTGTCAGTATTTATCCCCTGAGCACAGCCCAATTCTCTCCAGGGTGCCGATGGTCATGTGTCTCCGAGCATCTCTGGGGAGGCTGTGGACCGGCACAGGACACCTCCTGCAGGATACTTCCCCAGAGCAAGAGAACCTTCCTCTGCTCTCTCGGAAATAAGCCACAGCCATTCTGTAAACATCCACCCTGTGGTTGGCAGCCCTAGTTCCTCTCCCTAAGTCTTTATTGTGGCTCGAGACCAGCCTAGAAGACTGGCGGGGGCTTGAGGAGCCCCCCTAAGATGGTGGGTGAGAGGCAGGGCCCAGAGCCCAACAGGCTCGGATCCGAGTCCTAGCTTCACAGTCAGTCATTCTGCAATCTGGGGCGGATCCTCCCCAGCCTGGGTTTTCCCACTGGGAGAATGGGGACGTCTCGAGTACCCATCCTGCTGGGCCACTGTGAGGTTTAAGTGAAACAAGACACAGAGCACTGTGCACGCTCTGGGTCATGTGAGCTCACCTCTACCCTGAACTGCTGCCTTGATGGACATGATGTTTCGATATTTTTAAGGTCTGGTGATCTTTGAAAGAGAAAAAGTGCTAAGTAAGCCCGGGCTTCCACCGACCCCAAAATAAACTGGTTAACTTAGAAAACTCAACTAGTCTTGCCTGGTTCTAGATGTCACGTCCATCAGCACCACTTGTTTGACCAAATTTACCTTTCATTCACAGGACGAAGCAAAACAAAAACTAAGTTGACTGCATTACTAATTATCATGTAGATTACAGCCTGCAAGAGTGTATTATGTGCATGAATCCTATGAATGGTAAAGAGAATAAAGTGAATGCTGGACACAACTTTTGATTCTGTTTCGCCTGAAAGATGCAGTGCCCTAATTGGCATCTTTGATGTGGGCAGTTCTTGCTGGTGTACCAGTCAGTGCCAGGCACACAAAGGTGGGCGCGGTGGCTGGACCTTCACACTGAGCCAGACGCCTCATCATGAAGCCCATTCTCGCCCAGCTTGGTTGAAGGCCATTGTAAGTGTCCCTCTGGCACATACATTTAGGGCTTCCGTGAACAGAAAGCAAGAGAGTGAAGCATCTGTAAAATGTATATTTCATATTTAGGTATATAAAATATATATAGCTGTGTCTGGGCGCACGAATGTTCACCCACCTACAAAGAGAATAAATTTGATCTTTCAACTTGACTGGGAAGCGCTCAAAAGGTGGGGGTAAAACTCAGCTTGGCAATAAAGTAATTAAAACAAAATCCTTCCATTTAGTTTAAAAATACCTTAGAAGTTGGCAGTGTCAAGACACATGCTTTCAATAGAAAAAAAAAAAAAAACCCACCACCCCAACTGCTCCCACCTAAAACTTTTTACAACAAAAATAACCCCACCCAGCTGTCTTGGATTCATGTGTTGACTCTTGGTAGGCATGAATTTCCATCTCCACAGTATAAACACACACCCAAACATGTTCTTCCTAAAAGTTTTTTTTGTCCAGTGAGATAAGCTTATAAACTCATCCTAACAGAAAACTCCCTGGCATCATGAGAGATTAAAATAAGATCACTAGCCGTCGCCTAGTTTTTGTGGATTGTCTGTTCTTGCCAAGACCAGGAGAGTCTCTACAGACAGAGTATTGAGTGTGTCTAGACCTTTGGAAATGTTTTTTTTCTAAACCACCCACCGTCTGCTAGTTGCGAGCTGCTTCATTAAGCAGGACTAAGTCTGCGTCTTTGAGGGTTGGGGGGGCCGGTCCTCGGGGATGTGCCCTCTGGGGTCTCACCCCCTCATTATGGGAGCTTCTTCCCTGTCTGGGGCTGAGCCGGTGCTGCCTGACTCTGCCCTCTCTGTATTCAGTTTAAATTTAGACTGTCCTCCCCAGAAGACAACGGAAAAATACCTTGTTCATTCTCAAGAGGGGCAATTTTAAAATAAAGTATTTCTGGAAGTGGCAAGGGGCGGGGAGGCTAAGACCTGCTTTCTCCTAAGTATATGATGTTTCCTGCCATTAACTTTTTCTTATATTCTACTAAAACTGACCTCATCGTTTCAAATGTGCGAACCTAGTTTTATTGCCTTTTTTCTACATATTTTACTGGTATACACACATTATATATGTGTGTATATGTAATTTTTTTTTTTTTTTTTTTGGTTGGGAAGAAAAGATGCCTCATTTTGAAACCTAAAGGGGGGAATAAGAAAAGCCCTTTGTAATATATTGCCATATTATCACTAAATCCCCTGACAGTTGTGACACAGAAGCAAGTCACCTGTCACTTAAGCTTGAGGTCTCTTTAATTTTCTCCTGGAATTCGCACCAGGCTGTCTTTAATTTGAGGCCTTTATTGGAATTCTGAAACCTCTCTGCCTCCCTGGCTCTCAGATCTATTCTGAGAGCTGTTACAGAATGTATACAATAACCAACAGAGGGATTGGAGAGGGCTGGAGCTCTGTTTATTTAACACTCTGGAGGGATTTTTGTGCTTATTCGGTCCTGGCTGCCCGGCTTTCAATATCGCTTTGACAACCATTCTGCCCTTCTCATTAATTTTAAACAGTTAAAACACAGGAAAAAGAGGAAAAAGTTTTCATTATTAAAGTGCTTTACTTTTTAATAACAGAGGATTCTGTCCGCCAGGGGAAAGGGCATCCTTGCTAATTTCACATTCATATTAAAAAAAAAAAAAGTGCAAGGAAGGTGACAGTTTCGCTGCTGAGGTGGCTTAACGAAAGGAGGACGGCAAAAAAAAAGTTTGTATTTCACATCAGTTAAGAGGGTAAAAAAAAAAGTCCTTGTTAATGACAACAGCAAATGTCCACTTTCGTAACACAGCTCCTGAGTGCCTTTTCTCTTGACATTTGAGTGGATAAAACCCTCAGGGGGACCATGTACTGTGAAATCAGCTAGACTATCATCAGCCAAACAGGTAGCAGGAACGATTTGACTAAACTAAAAACATTTTCAGGTTGTTAAGTCTCTGTTAATACAGAGACGAACGCTGCTCCCAAGAAGGAGGCTTTTTCTCTCCCCCACCCCCACCCTTTTTTCTTCCTCCAGCAGCTTTAACCGTGAAGAGGTGCCAGGGTGCCTGCGAGAGGTGCGGTCAGCCAGACCCCGGAGCACGCTCCCTGTCCTCTACAGGAGTTAAAAGGAACATGAACTGGGTCTCACGCTGTTTTTTTCCTGGTGACCCACATGGGCCAGGGGGGTGAGGAGGGCTGGAGCTTCATTAGCACCATCCAAAGGATCAACACCTCTGGGAGGCGGATTAGCCAAGTTTGGGTTCTGTTGATTCTCAGTTTCACATTCAGGAGACAGCATTTGTGTCAAGATAGAGGACACATAAGCCACGTGTTTTCAGAGGGATGTAAAAAAAGGAAATCTTTTCTCTGGGGTTGCTAAAGGCTGAAAAGAAATGAAGTTTTGGTTTCATTCACATTTTCCGCCTGTAGGGTCATTTGTGCATATGAATATGACTTCTTACAGAGGGACCGTTGGCTGCAGAGATCCGTGGTGGCGGCCTTGCGTAGTTGGCTGCAGCAGCCCAGTCCTCCATGGGTTCCTGGGCACAGGGGTCTGGGCTGCAAGAATATTTCTGGAACACTGAGTCTGGACCTCTCAGGAGTAAGGACTCGTGCTCTGTGATTCAGGGACAGACCACCTTGTGGGCAGGTGGCTTGTGGGTTGGTCTTAAGACAGGAATGGCCAGGGCTCCACCGAGGAGTCCCAGGCAGGGGGCAGATTGAAAGCCTAGGTGGGACATATAAGGTTCCTCTGAAAACCGCTTCTGTCCCGTCGTGTTTTAAATGCCTCAATTGGACTTGGAAAATTCCAAAGTGTCTCCCATAGACTTTCACTTTGAACACGAGTGATAAGAGGCCAGAAAGAAAAATAAACAAGTAAATAAATAAGAGACCCGACCTACTCCCTCACAAAGCCATCCTCATCTTTGCTTGACTTTAACATCTTTGTCGCTCCCTTTTCTTCCTAGTAATATTGAAAGGATTACCCTTGTTGGCCCCTTGGTGGTTACTGTGTGATTTTACTGTTATTAAATCTATTATAAACCGCTTCATTATTCCTGATCTGACTGTCTGTCCTCTAATCCTTCCGTCACCCTCCCAGAAATCCCGCACCGCTGGCCCCCAGGAAATCCGAGAACGAGCCACGGTCTTGCAGACGGTGTTTGAAGATTACGTGCACTCCAGCGAGGAGACAGTCTCCAGGGCCAAGAAAGGTTGGTCAATTTCTTGGGCGGTCGTAGATGGATAACCCGACCGAGCATTGTCCCACCTCTACCCACATGCCCCCAGACAGGTTGGGAGGCCAACTGGGCAGCCCTGCTTGCCAGCAAAAGCCTTCAATCTCCCTAATTCTGCAGGGATTGGAAGTAGGCACAGAAGGCTTTAAAGTGATATTAAATGTTAATTTCATCCATCCTCACGTTTTGCACAAATGAGGCTTTATCTTGGCTTACGTCAGGTCTAGAGCTGTGACCCAGCAACTTGGGTCTCCAGGACCCATTTTCCTCTTTCTTTGAAAACTGGATAGATGAGATACGGCACGTCAGTAGGAGCAGTTGTAGAGATGGAAATCAGAGATGAAGGCAAGGTCTGGAAATGTTAGACCAAAGCAGTTCCTATTTGAAAATACAAAGAAAAACTAGAAAGAGCAATGCTGAGGAAGGGCTGCAGACCATGAACCCAGTTCCTGGGAAATTTATGAAAGGGTTAGGTATTAATTCAGTATTTGGTGCCTTTGTAGCATAAATTGGCCCCTGGGATCACCAGGCATTAGGTGTGGACTCAGTAGTTCACTCTGAGTGCTGAACAGAGCGCAGGGGAGGGAAGCTCAGAAGAGCCCAATGTCTTCCATGCTGGAACGTGTGTGTCTTGGCTACTGACTGTCCCATGTCTGCTGATGAGACTCACCCCTACTGTGGGGAGATCCATAGTTCTTTTTGATAGTGACCCATGATTTGGAGAAGAATGCCAGGCTGGCTTATCAAGAGATAAACACTACAGCCTCTTGTTTTCTTCTTTTTATGAACTGAAACTTTTTTTTAAATTGCTTTAATATTTAGAAGGAATTGGGCACCATTCCTGGTGCTTGGGACACACCAGGGATCAGAAGAGACAAAAATTGTCACCTTTGTAACATTCTAGTCGGGGGCAGACAGTGAAAGTAATAAACATAATAAATGAATCACACACAAATTAGACGGTCTCGGGACTCCCTGGCAGCCCAGTGGCTAAGGCTCTGAGCTCCCCGCGCAGGGGCCTGGGTGCCACCTCTGCTCAGGAAGCTGAGTCCCACTTGGCTGCGGCTGAGAGGCCTCGTGCCGCAACCGAAGATTCCGTGTGCCACAGCTAAGACTCGGCAAAGGCAAATAATTCCTTAGTTTAATTAGATGGCCTAGTGAAAGGTGATGAGAGCATAGAGGGAACAGTGCAGATGAGGGAGATGGAGGGCTAAGGGCAGAGTGAGCCCTGTTGGGATGGTTGCCATGTGAGCAAAACCCTGAAGAGGGGCCGCCCCGGGGCTCTGACTAGGGCGAGCAGGCAGGCACCGTGGGCAGTGTGCCCGGAAGGTGGGGATGGGCAGCAGAGGCAGGGCGTGGAGGCCGTCCAGGGGACCCAGGTACCCCGAGTGAAGGGGGAGCCAGTGGAGGGCCTGGGGCAGGGAGGTGAGCTGATGGTTCTGAGAAGGTCGCGTGCAGCTGGGTGAGAACAGCCCGGGGTAAAGGTGATGGCCAGGAGACTGGCTCCCAGGCAGTCATGGTAATCAGGAAATTGATGACAGAAATGGGTTAGTCACGAAATATTTGCAGGTCCCTATTACATACCTGGGGCTTCCCTGGGATTCAGATGGTAAAGCATCTGCCTGCAGTTCGGGAGACCCAGGTTCAATCCCTGGGTCGGGAAGATCCCCTGGAGAAGGAAATGGTAAACCACTCCAGTACTCTTGCCTGAAAAACTCCGTGGACTATCGCCTGAGGAGCCTGGTAGGCGACAGTCCATGGAGTTGCAAAGAGTCGGACGTGACTGAGCGACTTCACTATTACATACCTGAGCACATTATAAAGGCAGGCCTTAGTTTTTGCCAGAACAGACTGGAACTGCCCAAGATGAATGATGAAATCCCAGCAGTTGCCCCCTAACAACTGATAATTAGTGTGCATTATAGTCTGGTTTCTAATAATACCCTGTTCCCGTGTCTCCCTGCAGTGAATTCAGCAACTCCTAAGGCTCTTCCTGAGAACCTGCCTTTGGAGATGTACTAGAACATTCTCTCATGGGGAACAGAATATCTCAGGGAGGGTTTGGGCACATGTTGAAAGTTAGACAAACTCAACTAGCTGTGGGATACCTGACCAAGTGTTGGCCACAGGGTTGATAAGAGAGTTGGAATGAAGAGGAGGAAAGCAAAGCCGCACCAGCACTGCATTGCTGACGTCAGGGGTGCTTTGGATATCCTAGCGAGCCCACAACTATTTCAGCATCTCTGGGTCATCACGGTAAAAGTGATAGTGAATAGTCCTTTGAGAATATGGTTTGGGGTTGTCTCTTCATTGTTACCATTGAACTTACTAACACTAAGAGGCTGGCTGCGTTACTTGTCTTCTTTTCGAAGGATGTTGGAGTGGGGCCACTCCCAATGTCTATGGACCAGAAGGAAATGAATACCTCTTCTTTTTAAGGGAACTGCCTGTGGAGCATCTCGGTCACCCCACAGCAGGCATTAGGTTCTCCACTCGTCTCTCCTCTTAGGATTGAATTCTGGAGGTTTGAGGAGAGGAGACCTGTAATTGCCATTCCCCAGGAGTTGATACTGTCTTTTGTATTTCCCTATCTCCGTATGCAAATTCTCCACCCCTGACCCTCCTCCCTTTTATCTATTTCAGAACTCACCTCGTGAATAACTAACAAAAGCAGCTGGGTTTTGCCTTCATGGCAGAAAACTAGTTGGAAACTGGGCCAAGTATGCATTTGTTTTCCTTTTGCACCTTCTGACCCACCTATTGCTAATATCCAGCATTTTGTCATGGTCAGTTTCCAGAAGCAGTTAGCCCTTTTCCCCCTCACATCTTGCATCTTGTGAGTAGAGCTTCAAGTAGTAAAAATTGTGGTAATGTAAGTTTGAACTCCAGACTCCTAAACAAAAATTTCAGAAAGCAGAGTCCTTCAACTGCACGGGACCACTTCCACTTCCTCTTTTGGTTCAGGTGTCTCCTCCCCAAAGAGCAGTTATGTGTTAGGGTTGTGCCTGGCTCAGAAGGGATCATCCCTCCCTGTGATTAGAGGGAGGCTGGCTCCTTGGTCAAGCACTTTGCCTTTAAGAGAATTGGTGCATGCTGCCTCTCCCACTACCTTTGGGTGGTTGTCACTGTTAATGTGCCAGACGTGTGCTCCTCCGGGGCAGGACTGGGTTGGGAGGAGCAAGGATGAGCAGCACCTTCCAGGCTGGAGTTTTGCTCCTTTCTGCCTCCTTGACCCTAAGCATCATCCACAAGATGTTGCTCTTCCTGATCAGATGGCCAAGAATAGATTTGGTTTTATTGCTCAAAAGGGCAAAATGTCCTATGTCCTTGGAAGGTCTTTTGAAAGATTTCCCTAAGTCCTGTCATCCTTCTGGCTCTGAAATGGGGTTCAGTGAGAGCACCAGCTCTGAGTGGCTGGAGCGCCATCCGACTTGCGTCCCACAAGTCTCCTTTCATGAGAGGTCTCCTCGCATGACCTCTCCTCTTCCGCCTCATCTCTGCCTCATAGCCCCTCTTCCTTCCACTCATTCCTGGCACTGCCAGCACCAGCCACTTCCTGCCCCCTGGAAGTACAACCTGTCGAGGGAGAGAACTCTTCTGCCATTTCCTGGCAGACTCCTTTCCCCGTAGCTATTCAGTCAGTCAGTTCAGTCTCTCAGTCATGTCCAACTCTTTGCCACCCCATGGACTGCAGCACACCAGGCCTCCCTGTCCATCACCAACTCCCAGAGTTTACTCAGACTCATGTCAATTGAGTCGGTGATGCCATCCAATCATCTCATCCTCTGTTGTCCCCTTCTCCTCCCATCCTCAATCTTTCCCAGCATCAGGGTCTTTTCCAGTGAATCAGCTCTTCGCATCAGGTGGCCAAAGTATTGGAGCCTCAGCTTCAGCATCAGTCCTTCCAATGAACACCCAGGACCGATCTCCTTTAGGATGGCCTGGGTGGATCTCCTTGCAATCCAGGGGTCTCTCAGGAGTCTTCTCCAGCACCGCAGCTCAGAAGCGTCAGTTCTTGGGTGCCCAGCTTTCTTCGCCGTCCAGCTCTCGCGTCCGTACTTGGGTGGGTTAGGGTCAGTGGGGCACCCGCATCTCCCGAGACTAGGCTCTGCAGCCTCTGCTCTCAGGGTTGGTGTGGAGAAGAGCAGTCGTTCTAATCTGCTCCAGCACAAGGGCAGTGTGAGTGAGGAGGCCTGGGCCAGCAGTGGGGTGAGTGAGGCTTTTAAAGGCACAGACTCTTTGGCGTGTCCTGGTCCCAGCCTGCTCTTTCTATCTAGAGTAGATCTTGGGGGTTGGGAAGAGGCAGCATCTCCTGGGTTGTGGTGGTTGTAGCACTTTTCCATCTGAGGACTTGAATTCGTGTCAGAACCCTCCCAACTGCAGAGACCATTTGAACCATTAAAGATCTTCCTTGAGAAACCTCGTCCCCGGTTATTAAAAAGTGAGCACAGATGACAAGAGGGGTGCAGAGGAGTCGCCTTGGTTATTATTTCTCATCGATTGGGAAAAGGAGTTCACTTTGCTCAGTAAATAGAGCTTTGATGGGTTCCCAGGATCCTTCCAGGAGCTGATCTGCTAAAATGACACTTTTTATTACTGTTCATAAACGCCGATCTCCAGGTGCTGCCTGGATATTATGTTTAAGCTGTGGGCAAACTTGCCAGTCCAGTGGCTCAAATAGTGAGGGCAATGGAGACTGGTGTTCCGCGCCTGCTTCCAGCGACTGTGTGGAGAGGGGCGGGGCTACGACTGGTCTAGCCTCGCCATCGGCAGATGAGGAGAAAAGGGCAAGATACTTGGCAGTCACTGTTGTCGAGAGACATTCTGGGAACCAGGGGTGGGAGAATGAAGCCTCCAGTGAAGGTGGATCCAGAGCACCGCCTGCCTAGGAGCACTTGTGGCTTCTCTCTGGTCAGGGAGGGGTCCAGAGCAGGGGCCTCTCTCTAACTTTAAAACAGGACCCAGACCTTCCTGGTTAGACTGTCTGGTGAAGAGCTCTAAACCCATGGCAATCGATGACTGTTTTGAGAGCTCTTTTAGAAACTACATCCTTTTCTTTCTCCTCTTTAAAATTCTTTTTTCATTTCCTTTTTTACACATTATTTGAATGGGTAAGAAACACTGCATTGGTCAATCCTGGGTGCTTTCGCGTGAATTTGGTTTTAAAATTTCATGAGTCTACGGTGAACTGGTATCAGTGATTCCTATGGCTGGGAAGCTAGAGGTGGGGCTCCTGGTGGAGGCAGGGTTTATGATAGCAATAATAATAACGTGAAGGAATAATGAACTTGACGCATAATCGCGATAAAGCATTGTGGACCTTTTGGATTTTATAACATTTGTTTGTGTTAACTATTCAAAAACTAAAATGTAATAGGAAGAAGTGTTCTCAATGTAGAGATCTGATGACTTCATTTTTCATAAGAAAATGGTATGCACTGATCCTGTCTTAGTTTCTTCACTCATTCTCTTGGTCATTCACTTGCACAACAAAAACCTACTGTGGGACTTCCCCAGAAGTCCAGTGGTTAAGACTCCATGCTTCCAATGCAAGGGCCTTGGGTTTGATTCTTGGAGGGGGCACTGAGATTCCACATGTCATGTGGTACAACCAAAAAATAAAAACATGCTGTCTGCCAGGTACTGTGCTAGCCCCAAGTCTATAACGAGGAAGAAAACAGGACCCTGCCTTCTAGGCTCATTATAAGCTACACAGTAAAATCTGAGATAATATCAGGTTTATTCAAGTGAAGTTATGTTGGGTTTATTCACTGTGGCCGGTAGACTTTTTTTATTTTTAGGAATTTAAAAAAAAAAAAAAACCACGTGAGTGTAGATTTAGGTTGTTCATATCTGTCATGCTGTCCTGGTTGTGTGTCCATCGTTGCCTGGCAGGGTGAACTGCACAGGACAGGCCTTAGACTGGGGCAGCAGAGACCTGTCCTGACCTGCCCCGCGCCTCCCACTGTCTTCCAGCCCTGCAGTCCTTCATCCGGGCCTACGCCACCTACCCCCGGGAGCTGAAGCATATCTTCCACATCCGACTGCTCCACCTTGGGCACATGGCTAAGAGCTTTGGGCTAAGAGATGCCCCTAAAAATCTTTGCGCCTCAGCCATGAAGAAGAAGAAAGCAAACCTGAAAAGGTAAGGTGGACAAGAGGCTGAGGGTCAGGTGGGTGTCGAGGGCTCTGTTCAGATGGGCGGTGGTATGGTGGGCTGCTGTGTGCCCAAGGTAGACTCTGCCAGCTCGGGTTTTTGCGATTCTCTCAGCATGCTGAGTGCTTGGAACAACCGGGAAGATGCCTAATCTGAATGCTTTTAAAGCATCTGCAGGAAGTCAGTGATGTCTCCTGTTGGGTCCTGAGTGGTAGGGATTATTGGACCTGCAAGACAAATTCGTTGGACTATCTTCAGTGCCCACGGGTGGAGTAACTCACGGCTTACTAGGGTTGGTGCTCCAGATGTGCTGCGGGCAGCGGTCCACCCTGGAAGACTGTGGGGTGCTCAGTGACGCTCTGTTGAGGCCTCCGGGGGCTCCCAGCACTGTGCGCTGCTCTCCGTGGTGCCGACACGCAACCTCCCTTGGAGAGGCTGCACTGGCATCTTCTCCCCGCTCCCCTCCAAGAAAACATCTTCGCAACTGCCCAGGGACCCTGGTGAGAGGAGAGGCTGTGTGAGGAGGGTTGCCCAGCGGTTGGACGCTGGGCTCTGAGGCCATCTTCACAATTTCAGGAAGCCCTGAGGTGATTCCCCTCAATGAAATGCAGTTGTGAGAGCTCTTCTTTCTCAGCTCAGAGACGGGGTGTTCTCTTGGTACCAGCCCCAGGCTGTGTGGAAGCTAGAGTATCTTAGATGCCAAGAACTGCTTTTACAGGGAGTTTGGGTGGATCATGGTTACTACTGTGTGGTGTGTGGGTGGGAAGGGCTCAGAGAACCCACGAGTGCTCTGGACAGTTATCTTCCAGTGTGTATCCTTCTTTTTGCACGTTAGTTGCAAATGCCAGTACGTGTTTGCCCTGCCGCCAAGCACCTGTGGGCAGCACCACACTTTTACCTGTTCCTGCACCATGTCTGTCTTGCACATTCACCAAGAAGTGCTGATCACATGACCAGCCTCACTGGGGCCTGGTTTCTCTGCTGTGAAACAACAGAGGGAGGACGCATTGGTCTTGGAGTCAAGAGACTTGGCCTTCAGCTCCAGCTTCACTTCTGATGTGAGCCTGTGAGCCTCAGACCGTATCTTTGCTTAATATCTCAGAGCCTTGTTTTCCTCAACTTTGAGAGGGAAGAGGAAATCTGTGCTTTTAGCCACTTCACAAGAATCAGAGCTCTGTGATGCGTGTCACAGTGCCTTTTGAAGCGTGAAGGGCCACCGACATGAAACACTGTGGGGCAGAGAGCTGGAGGCCAGGTGAGTCAGGATTCCAGAGCACCCAGCGGGAGCTGTCCAGGGGCTTGGCCCTCCCGAGGCTCTTCATGGTGGATAAAAGGTTACCTGATTTTAGTTCCCATTTTGGAATTTTTAAGATGCTCAGTCTTTTCTCTTACACTGACCCCTGTCATCCAGGACCACACTCCAGCACTTCTGCGAGGTGGGCATTTCTCCCCACACCCTTCTCTGATGCCTGGAGGAGACTGAGACACGTCCAGCTCTGGTTTCTTCCAGGCAGTTTCGAGGTGCAGACCATTGCCTGCTGCCACACACCTCCTGTCCTGGGCGGGGCTGCGGCCAGAGACCCCTCTGCTGGAGCCAGGTCCTCTCAGAGGGAAAGGGTGCCCCAGCTCCATCCAGATTTGGGGTGCCGTGCACCAGAGTTAGGTTCCTGCCCTTGGGTTTGGGGTAGCTGATGTCTGTATGTGGTAACCGATTCTCAAGAACGTGACAAAACCCTGAGGCTCACAGTCAGATCTGGAGTGACTGACTGCCTAGTGGTCTGGAAGCCTGACTGTCGTGTCACTGTCTCTAAAATGCTGACACTTGAAGAGGTAGGAATCGAGCTGCCAGGTGATGACTGGTAAGAAACTTGTATTGTGTATTCCCCTTCCTGCAGATCAGTGTGACCCCAGCAGCTCATTGTTGGCAGCTGAGGTACCTCCGCGAGTGTCAGCCGTAGCCCCTCTGCCGGGGGCGCCGGCCCTCACCCGGGGAGCACAGGGCGGGAGCCGGGGGCTCAGCGCCAGCATTGTCCTCACCTTGCGAAGCCACCAGGGAGAGCGCCGGCCGCCGCCTCCCGCCTCCGCTGACCCGCGCTGGCAGATGGGCACCAGGACGAGTGTCCCCCTGCGAGCAGGGGATTTCACAGGGCTTTATGTAGGGAAGAATGGGCTGATTGGCCGATAAAGAGCATGTAAGATGGTATGGGGCAGCCTTTGATGTCTGGCTGGCGCGGCAGGGAGCCCGGCACTGAGCGACAGCAGTGTGTCACAGGATTACTCCACCCGGGACAATGCCGCTCTGATCCTGCCATGTCACCGCTGTGGCTCAACCACTTTTCCCAAAGGCCTTTCTCCCCGCACTCCGTGCACCCTCCCACCCCACCCCTGCCTCGCCAAGGCAGCCGGGCCCTCAAGGATACCGCAAGGTACTTTTTCTTTCTGGGGGGGGATCTTGTCGCTCCTGGAGGAAGAATGGCTGGACAGCTAATCTGCACATGGACCGTGTCATCGTGGCCGGGGCGGCGGCAGAGAGACCTCACAGATTCCCCACACCTCGGGCCGCGCTCAGCCAGTGCCAGTTGCTGCTCTTTGAGGGCGGGAGAGAAAAGTCCATTAAACCCCGCACGAGTGTGGAGAGTTACGCCACGGCCACAGTAATTGTTCTGAGCTGAGGCGTCTCCTCTAAAATCCATCTGTCGAGAAAGAGAACAGCTTCCCTGGGTTTTGTATGGGTGGATAAAATAATAGCTAAATTCTGCAAACTATTCTGCAATCCATTTTATGGTGTTTACTTCCTCGAGGAATTATATCAAGCATAAACCTCTGATAATCTGCAAACTAAATTTATGAGACCATAAGCACAATCCCATCTCACCTGCCATCCCCACCCAGAGGTCACCCAGGTGTTAGCAGGTGAGGCTAGGGCAGGTCAGGTGAGGTGATGACCAGGCATTTCTGTGCAGTGACAAGGGGACTTCTGTCTCCTCTACATGCCTTTATTTCAGAAAAAGACCAAGCTAGTGTCCCCAGATGAGATCTCCGCAGGTGTATCTCTGTCTCCTCCTTCAGTCCTCCATTCTGAAAGGGAGAGTAAGTGCCTTCCCCCTGCACACAGAACTCTACTGAGGCCAACACACAAGCCTGTCAGAACAGCCCCCGCCCCAGACACCGACATACCGTGGACACAGGGAGGCAGTGCTCTGGTGAAATACTGCGTGGCCCCTTAGCAGCTTCCAGCACAAAGACAGCATTTTCTTCTCATGAAATGTTCTTATTTTAAAGCCAGTTATATTCAGCAATTCCTGAAAGGAAACACACCTTCCAAAATCTCCATCTTCCCAGAAGACAGCACTATGCGCTCTGGGAGGGCAGAGTTGTGTTGTTCACCAGGGTGTCTGTCTGCCTCTCTAGGCAGTCAGCGTGTGAGTGGAACCTCCCCAGCACACAGTGAGCAGACAGTTCCCTCGTCTGTTTGACACTCCGTGAATGGTGGTTCAGGGACACGGAAACTCTGAGCCTTAAGGAGGGGCTTACTGTTATAGTGGCAATGTGGAAGGGTGCGTCTACTGGTCTTAATCCACCCTGTCTAATTTGGATTATATGCTCTAATTGTAATTTTATCAAGGCTTTTTCCCAGTCTAGTTTGTAGCTACCTGAGACTGGCCCCACCGCCTGGCTTCTACCATCTGGGTCTTTCTGATGTTGCTCTTAATGCATAGATACATCTTTCAATAAATTTTCTCATAACAGCCCAGCTAAGTGTTACCTGGTAGTACTGATTTGATCAAACAGGTGAACAATCTAAACTTAGGGCTCTCTGACACCTTAGTACTCACTGGATCTGGGTGTGCACTCAGGGCCTGGCAGGCTGGGATCCACAGTGGAAGGGGGCATGGGGTGGTCCCCTCTGTCCTGCCCTCACCTCCCAGTCACCGTCCCTAGCACCACAGAGCATGTCCTCCACCTCTGTTACTTCCAAAGTTCTACGTTGAGTGTGCTTGCTAAAGTGAGGAAACATCCTTGGGGGCGGAGTCATACTGCCAGACTTTTCTCATCTGTGAAATGCTTTATCACTAAAATCCAAATTAGAGATGTGCAAACCTTTCCTTCAGTGTCTTATAGTCTCGTGGCTGCAGTTACTGTCCACAGTGACTTTGGAGCCCAAGAAAATAAAGTCTGTCACTGTTTCCACTTTTTCCCATCTATTTGCCAAGAAGTGATGGAACCAGATACCATGATCTTAGTTTTTTGAATGTTGAGTTTTAAGCCAGCTTTTTCACTCTCCTCTTTCAAGAGGCACTTTAGTTTCTCTTCACTTTCTGCCTTTAGGGTGGTATCATCTGCATATCAGGTTGTTGATATTTCTCCTGGCAATCTTAGTTCCAGCTTGTGCTTCATCCAGCCAGAATTTTGCATGATGTACTCTGCATATAAGTTAAATAAGCAGGGTGACACTATACAGCCTTGACGTACTCCTTTCCCAATTTTGAACCAGTCTGTTGCTCCGTGTCCAGTTCTGACTGCTGCTTGACCTGCATACAGGATCCTCAGGAAACAGGTAAGGTGGTCTGGTATTCCCCTCTCTCAAGAATTTTCCACAGTTTGTTGTGATCAGCATAGTCAAAGGCTTTAATGTAGTCAATGAAGCAGAAGTAGATATTTTTCTGGAATTCTCTTGGTTTTTCTATAACTCAGTGGATGTTGGCAAGTTGATCTCTGGTTCCTCTGCCTTTTCTAAAGTCAGCTTGTACGTCTGGAAGTTCTTGGTTCACATACTGTTAAAGCCTAGCTTGAAGGATTTTGAGCATTACCTTGCTAGCATGTGGAATGAGTGTGATTGTACGGTAGTTTGAAAATTCTTTGGCATTGCCTTTTTTTGAAATTGGAATGAAAACCGACCTTTTCCAGTCCTGTGGCCACTGCTGAGTTTTCCAAATTTGCTGACATATTGAGTGCAGCACTTTAATAGCCTCATCTTTTAGGAGGTG